CACGCAGAGCCGTGCCGCCGGGGGCCGGTGGGCGGCGGGGACAGGTGGGACTGTGGCCGTGACGTCCACCCCCGGGCAGACCCTGCCCAGGCACCTCGTGGCGCCCGGGACCTGCTGTGTCGGGGCCAGGGCAGGAGGGCACGCGGAAGTGTGTCCTCTGTCCGTACCGGGAGACGAAGCCCTCCCCCGGGAAGGTAAACACCGCAGGTATTTATTGCTGGGCGCCCTGCCCTGCAGCCTCCGTGGGCCGCTCACCGCCCTGCCCTTTTATTAACAGGAAGGCGTAGGGAGACAGGTAAAAAACGGAAAAGAAAGAGGTTAAAACCCACCTAACGCAGCTGACCAGGTAGGCCGTGTTGCCGGACGGGCTGGATCCCGGGGCTGGGAGACGCGGCCACCGATCGTGCCACCGAATCACGCTTCCGCCTGGGTGCGGCGGGACAGGCCCTGATTGGCTCTGGCTCTGCGGCTTGGGGTCTGCTGGGCTCGCTCCTTGCTCCCCGCCCTCCCGCTTCTCGGAAGGCCCGGTCGCAGCTCCCTCTGGCCTGGAGCCCGCCTCCAGCTCTGTTCTTCTTTCCGACGATGATTAGGGACACACGTGCGCTGAGCAGTGGGCTGGGCTTCCTGAGTGCAGCGGGGCCACTCCAGCTGCTGGGCTGCTCTGGGGTCACGGGGGGGAGGGCAGTTGGCCCACCCCCCTGACAGATGAAAAACTGAGGCTTCACAGGGACCACAGATAGGGGTGCTGAGGCTGCAGAGGTCGGGAGACACTTCCCGGACACAGAGGGCTGTGGGCTGCTGGATGGGACGTGGCCTCGGGGTGCTTCCCCAGAAGCAGATGGGTGGACATGGGGGAGAGCCTCCGAGCTCATGCCGAGATGAGAGGCCAGCGTGAGGAGGGTGGTGCTCTCAGGGGACACCCTGGGGGTAGCCTTGGGGCCCAAGGTGGCTGCCGGAGCTCTGGAAATCACACCTGTGCTCCAGGCTGGACGAGTCCGGTGGGGAGAGGGGCAGCAGAGCCCCCCAGGGAGCCACCCTGGAAGCTCCACCCACGGCTTGTATGTTCTCCCCATCTTGGCGTCCCTCAGCCGCAGGCGACTCTGGGAAGTACAGCCTCCTCCTGAGGCATAGTTTCCCAGGAGAAAGCGGGCTTGGGCAGCCCCACGGTGGAGGAGGCAGTCTTCAAGTCTTCCTGGCCCTGGGTGTTGGGCCGGCTGGCCCCTCCTGCACGCGGGCCGCCATGGCGTCAAGACCCATGGTCGCCTCGGAGCGGAGGTCCTGAGGGAGAGGGTGTCTGGGGGCCGGCTCCGGCTTGCAGCTGCCGACGCTGGGCCCGGGCTCAGGTGCCTCCCCGGGGCTGCTCTCAGAGGGGAGCGTCTGGGTAGGCGGGTCTTTAGAGCCCTGGCTGTGCCGGCCTCGGGCGTGGGGTGGTGGGAGGTTCACGCCATCCCGTGGCTTCGTCTCCGCAGGCCCCTAGGTCCAGTCTCCCACGGGCCTCTGGGCGGCAGAGCCCACGGCGGAAGGCCGGCACTCCTGCTCCCTTGCCCTGCCGGTGCTCAGGCCCAGCCGGGGGGTGGCCCGTGTTGGGATGTGCGGTGGAGGCAGGGTGGGGAGAAGTTGCTGCAGGATCAGCGTGGGGCTGCCTTCCACGGGAATGGGGCCTCCAGCCTCAGGGCTGCCTGGCGGCCCAGAGTGGCTGCCAGAGCTCCAGAAACCGCATCCAGGCCCCAGTCTGGAAGAGAGGAAGGTTGGGGGGGCAAAAGAGCCATGTGGGCCTCAGTTTCCCCCATCTGCACAATGGGAGAATGGGGCTTGCTCGCAAGACCTGTGCTTCTGTGAGCCTAGTCCCAGTTCCAGCCAGGCTCTTGCAACACGGCTACCGTGGCAACTCTGATTCTAGAAATTTCGCAAGAACTGCGGGCTCAACGTCCCGCCGCGCTGGCCTCCGCTCGGTGCTGTGTGTGCCCGGGGTCGGGCCAGCTGGTGGTCTCAGTGTCTGTCTCTCTCCCTGCAGATGTGAGGTGAGGACGAGCCGACCCTTCCCTGGGACATGGATGTACGTGGCGTGTTACATTCCTGAACCTACTATGTACGGTGCTTCACTGCCAGTGTGCGGTCTTTGTTCTCCTCCGTGAAAAACTGTGTCCGAGAACACTCTGGAGAACAAAGAGACAGTGCACATTTGTTCAATGTGACATCAAAGCAAGTATTGTAGCACTCGGAGAAGCCGTAAGAAGCTTCCTTGTCAGAGAGAGAAAGAGAGAGAAAACAAACCACAAACATGACACAAACAAAACGGACTCCAAAATATCTAACCGGCCGATGGGACGGAGGGCCGCCCCGCGAGCCGGACGCGGGGGGCTCCGCAGACGGCATCTCTGTCCGGGTGGTCACAGGTGCTTTTTGCCAAGAACATGGAGCCTGCTTTTGGGGCGACTCCAGCAGGGGCGCGCGGGGAGCGGGAATGTCTCGGAGTCGCCAGATGAACTTGGGGAACCACGCCTCCTGGCTGTAGTGTCTGCGCCCACACCGAAACCTTCCCGAGAGCCTTAAGTGGAATTTTCTTTTGTACACCATACAGTGATTATTAAGCTTTCCTTTTTACTCTTTGCCTAGCTTTTTTTTTTTTTTTTTTTTTTTTTTAATTATCTCTTGGATGACATTTACACGGATAACACAGGCTGCTGTAACTGTCAGGACAGTGCGACGGTATTTTTCCTAGCAAGATGCAAACTAATGAGATGTATTAAAATAAACATGGTATACCTACCTATGCATCATTTTCTACATGTTTGTGGCTTTGTGTTTCTCCCTCACCCCGCTTCGTCTTATTTTCTAATTTAAGCCATTCTGCGAGAACTCTGCGTGAGTCAATCACAGGCGGTCCTGGGGCGCCTGACCCCAGCCCATTCGTGGCCACGGGGCATCTCCCTGTGGAGGGTCACGGCCCGGCAGCACACACCCGGGGTGCTGTGTGCCCACGCAGGGGTGAGGCGTGTCCTGGCTTGCACCTGTGTCGCCAGCGTGCCTGCTGGGCGTTGGAGGTCACCCCTGGTGCCACCAGTGTCGGACAGAGCCTGACTTCTTTATTTTGGGGAAGGTGTTGTACTCTACGTGTATTAACAGAAATGTGTGTAGCTTCTTTTTTGTAAAGGTGAAGTTTGTATTTTTATCTAACATGACCTGTTTTATATATACCTGCTATGCTTTTTTGAGGGGGTGACCCCAAATTAAAAGAAAAACAACCCGCCAAACAACCCACGCACAAGGGAAGCTTTCTGGGTCACATTTTTCCAGTGCCGAGTCTAGACTATTCCCCGCTCCCCTGGCATCCTGGTGCCACTCGGGTGGAGACCGGGAGGTCAGCGCATCCCGGACTAGGGTCCCTGGGCCTGCCCTTGTCTCCAGGCCTCGCGGGGACAGGCTGGGGAGTGCCGGCCCGCAGCTGTGCTGCCCTGAGCGGAGCTGTCCCGCACCGAGCTGCCAGGGCCGAGAAGCTCACGTCTCCCAGGAAGAGGACCCGCCCACCCATGTCCACGCACAGACCAGCATCACAGGCTGCCGGGAGTCCCCCACCGCCTCAAGGCACAGGGATCGTCCGGCCGTCCTGACCTTACGTGGCCCAGGGACTGGGGGGCTGTGTCTCTTGTCCAGTGTGCCTGGGGAGATGTGTATGCAGGAGGGCTCTCCTGGGTGCTGTCGGCCCTTGAGTGGACGCATCTCGGTGGAAAAGGGCAGCCTGGAGGTGGGCAGGGCGGGCCACCTCCAGTGCCTGGGATGGAGGGGTGCAGACCAGCCTTCCGCGGGGCCCTGCCCAGGCCTCGTCCCGGTGTGCTGCTGTCCGGCCCCGCTGTCCACGGCGGGAGGCAGGAAGCCACGTAGTTCCCGTGCTTGTGCTTCCTGAGATGCTGCGGACACGACCCTGCTTTCTGGCCGCAGGGCCCGGCCGAAGAGCCTGCTGCCTCCGGGTGGGAAGAGGGCCGGGCACTCAGGCCTGCTGCCCGCTTCCTCCCTGCCCCTTCCTCCCTGCCTTTCTCCTTCCTTCCTCTCTTCCCCGCTTCCTTTTTCCTCCCCTTCTCTCCTCCCGTCCCCGCCCGCCCTGTGGGGAGACCCGTGTGGGGCGGGAGGACGCAGCCACACCACACCAGCCCAGGGAGGCTGCGGTCTGCGCTGGATTGTT